TTTATTTATTTATTATGTATACAATAGTCTGTCTGTGTGTATGTCTGCAGGCCAGAAGAGGGCACCAGACGCCATTACAGATGGTTGTGAGCCACCATGTGGTTGCTAGGAATTCAACTCAGGACTTTAGAAGAACAGACAATGCTCTTAACCTCTGAGCCATCTCTCCAGCCCCAGGATTATTTGTTCTTAATCTCTCACAAACTATTACTACAAGTTCTTTTCCAGGGTTCACTTTCTGCCCACAATTTGTCAATTTCATCATTATTAAAAAGTACTATAATTTCTGCTGGGTGTATTTCTGCTAGTTGATGAAGTCTCAATTTTCCTTTTAGAATCAACTCAGAGACCTTTCCACACATTTTTAATTTTTAATTTAGTTTATGTGGTAAAAAGATCCATTCTAAGGTAATACCTTCCTTCTGTATTAAAATTCCTGAAGGGAAATACTTGGAGGGTAATAGGATCAGAATGTAGTTAAGATTCAGATTCATGGGCTGTAGAGATGACTGAGAGGTTAAGAGCACTGGCTACTCTTCCAGAGGTCCTAAGTTCAGTTCCCAGCAACCACATGGTGGCTCACAACCTGTAATGAGATCTGGTGCCCTCTTCTTGTGTGTGCGCATATGTACATGCAGGCAGGACACTGTATACATAATAAATCTTTAAAGACACTTTAAAAAAATTTTAACATTTATTTATTTATTATGTATACAATACTGTGTGCATGCCTGGAGGCAAGAAGAACCTCTGAGCCATCTCTCCAGCTCCCTTAAATTTTTTAAAATGCATCCACACTATCCACATGTGTAATTTGCAATTTCTCTTCAATCAAAGCCAATTCTCTCTCAGCTTCAGCTGATAATTTCCTGGGACTATTTAACTCCTTCTCACCCTCTGAGGTTTTGACCAAATTACTCAGTTCATCAGGACCTCTCCCAGTAGTGGATCTCAGATATGAAATGTCTCCTAGCAGTCTCTGAAAGTAATGAAGAGTCTGCAATCGATCTCTCCTAAATTTGCACCTTTTGGGGTCTAATTGTTGTAAATTTTTCTTTTTCTTGGAAAGGTACAGTGAGGAATCAATCTTTTAAATCAATAACTATAAGAGGCCATCCTTTAGGTAATAGAGAAGGCAAATGAATTCCAGACTGTAGAGAGCCCATTGGCTGAATCACCTTATTCACAGCTCTTAGATTTGTCACCATTCCCTGTTTTCCATATTTCTTTTTGACAAATACAGAATTCCAAGGGCTGCTTGGTTCTTCAATACGCTGAGCATCTAGCTGCTCCTATACCAGCTGTTCTAAGTCCTGAAGTTTCTCTGATGTTTAAAGCCATTGTTCAACCCATACAGGTTTGTCTGTCAACCATTTTAAAGGTAGGGCTATTGGTGCCTTTGATAAATGAGCAGCTGTTGTGTCCTCTTATTGTACAACCTTAATGGTTGGTGACTGTTTTTTTAATACCTTATAATTTTCCCAGAAACATGTTAATTTGTGGCTTGGTCTAAGACTGGGGGAATGTTATCTGAGTATTCCATTACTCTAACCAATCATATCCCCACATATACATTGCTATTTTAGCCACATATGGCTTTAATTTTCCTTTCTGTCCTTCTGGCTCTATACATTCAACCCATCTTGTGCTGTTTTAACTGAAATGAAGTTCCAACTACGTCCTGAAGAGGTCAATTAGATGCCAAGATTCTAGTACTATTGTTACATCTGCATCTGTGTCTACCAGACTTTCAAAGACAGTGTCATCTGTTCTTATTTTTAAATTTTGGTCTTCCATTTATAAGATTGCCAAAATACTGTTTTTTTCTGAAATTTTTGTTATCTTCTATAGCTGTTCTATTAACAAGAGCAGTATGGTCTTATTATAAACTTTAGGCTCCTAAATTGCTCTCGGAAGGAGTTACGTCCATGACTAAAGGAAATGACTAAACCGGATTTGGCATGAGGTCCTGTGGAGGCCCCTCAAGGTTTCCCAATGCAAAGGGTTACCTTGAATGTCCCTTTTTTTAAAAATTTTTTTAAATATTTATTTATTATGTATACAATATTCTGTTCGTGTGTATGCCTGAAGGCCAGAAGAGGGCACCAGACCTCAGTACAGATGGTTGTGAGCCACCATGTGGTTGCTGGGAATTGAACTCAGGACCTTTGGAAGAGCAGGCAATGCTCTTAACCTCTGAGCCATCTCTCCAGCCCCCTTAATGTCCCTTTTTGATCTACATTCATTAGTCCAATAATTGTCCTTGCCACACATTCAGCATAATCCAGAGGGAGGTGCATTCCATTTGAATTATAGTTAAAAAAAAACATTGTTTCTTGGAATGCCCTGTTTATAATCCCTTTAAGGTGACCTTGCTTGTCACAACGGAAACACTTGGCATTTTGATTTTTCTTCAGACCTCTGGAAATCACCTCTCCTATCCAAGGATCATGATGGTCATGAGATGCAATATTGATTGTATCTCAGATCCACTCCTCCAAAGTGCTGATCTTGTCTTTAAAAGCCTAATTAACCTTTTGCATAGAGAATTAGCATTTTCAAAAGCAGAGACTCAATTTTATTTGTCTAGTTTTTGAATCTGGTATCATTCTCTTTGCTGTTGAGGTCAATCTTTGTAAGAAATTTGTGAAGATTTCTTTCAGTCCCTAGAGGACTTTAGTAAAAAACTCAATTTTATTTCCTACTTTTTCAATTCTGTCCCAAGGTCATGTAAGATCTAGTAAGTTAAGGTCCCACTCACAATGTAGCCCAGGCTGGCCTAGAAAGAATTGATGCACCTTGCCTGGCGACAGGAATAAAGACTAGGATAGTAAAACCTGCCCAGATATCACCATGCCGTTACCACACAGAAGCAGATGAAGACACATACAAGATTAGAGAAATACAATTTTAATCAAACAGAAAGGTAAACGTTAGGCATCGGTTATCTTTCTGCCTAAACAGTGAGAGAAACTGTTGAAACAAGGCCGTTTCCCAACACTTGTGACAATGCTCCAGTTTCCAAAAAAACCTTAATGAAAATGTTAAACATGAAAATAGAAGTCTGAGAGATGTAAAAAAAGTGTATAAAAAGCCCAAATGTGTCAAGGTTGTCCTTTTTCTACAAAATAGCACCAGTAAATAGAGTAAAAGGTGTTAAAAGCATCGCGAGAGCATTTCTGAAATGCAGCTTCTCATCTCCAGGGATGCCCTAAAAGAATCCCCTTAAAAATACAATGTATCATGGGGTAAAAAGGTTTTAAAAATCTCCAGAAGATCAAAGTTTCTCATTGTATTTTCCCCATCATCTCTTAGATAAGGGAAACAATGTGCTTTTGGCCCTACTTCTCAATAAGTATTAGGGGATCATACTTATCTGGGGACCTGAGCAGGTGGGGGAGGGGGCTCATCCTTTGGAGAGAGGGAGTGGGAAATAGTTTAGCTAAGCTCCCTCCTTCATGTCCCTCACACATGGAAGAGGGGCCACCCCGCTTCCTGAGCTCAAAAACATTCTATTCCAGTCTTCTTGAGGATTAGCTACACGAGCCCCTGCCCAGGGAATCTTGGGGGAAATAGCCCTGAATGTGATGATGACATCATCCCTGCTGACATCATCATCATACTGGGAAATGCTACAAGGCCAACAGGACTCCAGCCCTTGTACCAAAACAAGGGGAAGGTGCCATTAAGACTTAAGTCATAAACATCACCCTTTTCCTCTTCTACTATCCCTAGGGAAAATTAAAAAACACAAAACATAAAATCCTGGCCTCTTGACCTTGTTCATCTGAGCCCACATTGATACTAACGTCCTCTAGCAAATGGGAGCACAGGTGATTTAAAAACAAAATCTCAAATGATTTTGCAGCATTAACCTGAGTACTGGGAGAGCTATCATTTTGGTATCTTAGCATCACGTCTGACTGATTAACCCAGGAGGGAAAAAAAGCCATCTTGCTACCTATTTCAAGTTTTAAAGTTTCAGGATAAGAAAACATGAGCACCATGTTGGGCTGCTCTAAGCAGCCAGGTCTGAGCTGTGCACGTGGAGAGAGCACCTTGGGCTCCCCTGCAAGGGCCAGGAGGCTCTGCTCCCACAGAGCAGGAGAAAGCTGAGGTACACAGTGAGGTGAGGCCCCAAACAGGTGAGCTGAGAAAGGGGAGAGGTGAGGTGACTTCAGGGAGGGGGTGATTCTGGGGACCTGGCTCAGACCAAGAGCACCCCAGCCCTGGGTAGAACTATTCACATGCAAAGTAGTCCTTCAAGGGGGCAAAGAGGTGTCTGATGACTGGCACACTCCAGGACCTTCCCAGCAGCTTCTGACGGGCACCTCGGCCCATGTTGGACACGTCTGTGTAGTGTGCAGGAAAGCCGAAGATCCTGGGAGAGAACAGAGTGAGAAGTCACCAGGTTAGAAGGACCCAGGTCCCTAGTACACCAAGAACAACTGTGTTCTGGAAGTCAGGCCTATGAAAGCTACCAGCTTCGCTCAGGACTTTTAGACACAAAGGAACCTTCTAGACTACCAGTTCCACTAATAGCTAAGAACACTTGCTCACAGCTGATAGTGACAGGAAATCAGTGCTGTGCAACTTCACTGGGACTGTGCCCCTGTTCCTCACAGGCCATGGTATGAATTAACCCTTGCTAATCTGCAGACATGTGTCTAGGACATTGTAGCTTTAGAGCCTGTCCTAGAACTAGCTCTTATAGACAGCTGCCTCGAACTCACAAAATCCACCTTTCTCTGCCTCCCAAGTGCTGGGATTAAATGTGTGCGCCATCACTGCCCAGCTGTAGGACCATTCTTAAATGCATAGTGTGAACTGGTCTATGCATGATCACCAGTCAGTCAGAAGGCTCAAAATATAATGAGAAGTCAAGCAATTTGTTTTCAGGGCGAAAAAACAAGAGACAAGATTTTCAATGGCAAACAGAGGGCTCACAGATACCAGGTCTTTCATAGTCGCCAGCACACATGTACATATATATAGCGCTCTCTCTCTCTCTCTCTCTCTCTCTCTCTCTCTCTCTCTCTCTCTTTTACACACACACACACACACAATCACTCTCTCTCTATCCACTCCCTCAAAATATTAGAGAAAAATAAATCCAGAGCTTGCCTAAGGAACTTCATCAACGGTGTTAAAGAGGACAGAAAGACTGAATCTCAGTATCGCAGGCTTACAACTGCTCTAAAGTTAGCTGTAGGAATTCAACACCTCCAGCCCAGGCCTTGCTATTCCTGGCATCTACACAGTACCAATCACACCTCAACGATCACATTAAACTGAAACTCTCAAATTCCAGTACAAACCACAGCATGGACACAATTACAGTGTCCCAGCCTTGGCCCAGGGACCTTTATAGAAGAGGACGCTGAGATTGCTAAGGTGGATAATATCCTGAGATTGTTTCTGGACAGAAGAGAGCGGATGCACACATAAACTCCCAGTATTGTGATGGCAAGTACCAGGCCTGTAGCAGATCCCAAAGAGTGGGGGAAGGTGGAAATCCCAGTACTAGATGAAGCCTGAGTGGTTATACATCAGGGCAGAGCCAAAGACAGCTGGGCAGCACTTGATGAGTAAATGGGGAATAGCAACATCTAAATTGGGTGAGTGGGATTGGAGTGGAGAGGGATGCAATGTAGTTGAAAGGGTTATGTTCAAATCTGAAAAAGAATTAATTGTAAAAGAAAATATTACTTGGGTCATGGTGGCTGTCATTTATAAGCCAGGCATTCAGGACACTGAAGCACAGAAGAGCCTATAATGAGTTCGTTCTCAGCCAGGAGACCAGAAAAGAAATAAATATGGAACATTAACATCTTCATGAAATAGTTGCTACTTATATCTGGAAGAGAGGGAAGGTAGTGGGGCACTGCCTTTAATCCGAACACTTGGGAGGCAGAGGCAGGCGGGTCTGACAACAAAGGTAACAGATCAGAGAAACTGGAGAGAGAAGGGCCCAGGAGGAGAATTCTGGGGATAAACAGGAGTTTCCTCAGCCTTCTTATTTAAAGGAAAATTTGGGACAGGAAAATATGAGAGCAATGCAGGCAGGTGTCCACCATCCTGTCTCTCACCCCATTTCCCCCTTTCCTGTCTTTGTTCCAGATGCAGCTCACCTTTCGAGCTCAGTACACCACAACACATCGTCCTGGCCATTCATCACTACAGGGAAAAGCTGGTTTTTCCCCTGTCTGATGGAGTTCGACTTGGTGGTTATTGTCTGTACTTTCTTTAACTGGAGAACAAAACAATATCGTGGGGTGAGCGCAGAAGGCTTCCAGTGGGGTCAGGCTCAGAAGCATCAGAGGGCAGAGGACTGAAGGCATGAGTCATCGATGAGGTCATGAAGAGCAGAAACCATCCAGACTCAGAATGGCCACCAGAGCTTGAGCATCAGGCCTTTGCTTTTCACAGACACAAAGGAGAAGGCTCTGAGGCCTCACTGTGCATCTGTGACTTCACAGCACAGCCTTTGGCAGCAGCATCCGCCACTGTCCTTACTGCAAAGAGCACCTGCAGCACAGCCTCCCTGCCTCCAGCATCACCGCCACAGAGCGCGGCTGGGTCTTCCTGCTGGGGTTGTTACTCTGAACTTGAAGAAGAGAGGAAAGTCTGTGGGGAAAGGGACCCAGCACCAGGGGTCTGTGAGGGAATGAGCAGGAGCCGTGTGCAGAGAGCCCAGGTCAGTTTTCCAGAAGGTGCGGCACAGCCCGCTCAGCATCTTACCTTTGCTGTCCTACTGAACTCCAGGCAGTCCTGCAGCTCGAGCTTATCATTCTTGGAAGCTATCACGGGCCTGGGAACAGCCAAAACCCGTTATTCTCCAGCATCTGCCCTGTGGGTCTACGCTAGAGACCTCACAAGTCAGGTGAAGAGAATGTAGCTTTTCAAATAAATTTCAATTTTTTAAAAATGTGTAGGAGTGTCTGCATATGTTTATTGGAACAACCCGTGCAGACAGGGCCCATGGAAGTGAAAAGAACTGGGGTTACAGAGTTTTGAGCTGTCATTTCTGCACTGGCAATGGAACCAAGAGCAACTCCAGAATCTGCTTCCTCAGTGCACTTAGGTAATATCCATGTCACAAACCTTGGATGAAAACCATACTAGTGAGAGCACAAGGCTGTGCCTAAGTGCTTTAAGACCGTGCCCAGTACCCACACACAGTATAGTGTTGCTACTGATTGGCATGCATCAAGGAGAACCAAGTGCTCTGCAAACCAGGAGTGCCCTACTGCTACACATAGGCAGCACTAACACCCTGGTCTAGATCACCGTGAGCATCATCACTAGGAGACATACACTACTAGGGATGGCTAGTAATAGTAAATGCCTTCTGATCTGCAAATGTGGATGCTAATATCAAGAGCTGTGATTCAAAGTAGAAACCTTTCCACATCTATACATAGAAGTCATGAACTACAGCAGCCTCATTAAAGGACCCAGATACCGAGATTTCACAATGGAAGCAGTTTAGTTAAGGAAATCACATTCAGCCCTGAGAGCCTTCTAGCTGCCCAATGACAATTCCCATTTTCTTTTAAGGTCTTCATGGGCCTAACCCTAAGACCAAGGGAAAAGGATCAGAGCAAGCCTAGATCTGTATAGATTCAAAGATCCACACAAACTTTCAACATAGGTAGGAGCTTCGTCAAGTCTAAGCCCAGGAACCAAGACCAACATAGAGCTTTCAGGTGTTTGTAGCACATGCATGCTCACACAGGCACACACATAAGTATAAAAGTACAAAGTATAATTTAAAAAAAAAAATAAGGATTTGTACAAATCAATGTCTTTGATGGATGATAAGCCTGCAGATATCAGTTAGTGCATTCTGTCTCTGCCTAGACCTCAACTGCTTCATCTGTCAAACCTGACTCTTCCTCTCATTGCCCACATGCTGACTACACCTAACAACTCCTTTGACTCCAGTGTTTGACAGCCTCTTGGATTGCGACTAATTCGCCACTTCATTTGTGTCTTTCTTTCTTACTCTTCTTTTCCTGCCATCAGACAAATGCTTATTATTTTAGCAACTTCCCATGACTTCCAATGCACTGTTTTAAAACAGAATTACTTACACATATGCCTATAGTTTCTTTCTCAGGTGTTCCTGAACTAGGAACATTGAATTTGAAGCTTATCTTGGGAATCCCATTGACCCACAATCCAGAGGCCATCGTTCGGCATTGGACGTTCATTATTCACATGGTTGCATTCCCTCTGCTCTGTGAAGGAGCACTCTTGTCCCCACTCACATTGGCAAAGCTGCATTCCCAGTCTTGAACATAGCCACTGCCCTACTCATCTTGTCTACTCCACAAGAGTCTACCATTGAACGAGCAACACAGCACAGCAGCAGTGAAAGGGTTTGACGGCTGGGTAAATTAGCACAGGCTATCCCAAGAATGAACATGGTATGGTACCCAATAATTCAGCAAGCTCCAGTGATTAAGTGACCAATAATACCTCCTACAAACAAAACTGGTCTGCTGTACTACAGGCTCCTCCCACCTCTAGCCACACTATGTCACCAGATCCCTATGCAAGTGTTTCAGACCTTATGGTGAGTCAAAGATGGTTAATACCATCTGATTGTGCATCTTCATTAGCAAGGTCTTGAAAGCAAACGCAGATGAGCTAAGAAGACCTCTACAAAGTGAATTGCTTGTGTATAAACTGCCTTGAGTAAAAAAAACTTGATTCATAATAAAAGTATAGGAAATCTAGACTGAGAAATCTAGAGAGGTAGATTCTGAGCTATCCATAAAATAATAAATTTATTTATTTATGTTTGTTTATCTGTTGTATTGTGAATGTATTATCTGCATATGACATGCATACTGGGCTCGCCCAGAATACAAGAGGGCATCAGATTCCATGGAAAAGAACACTAAGACCAATTAACACAGGTAAGTGGACACCATCTTGTGGAAAAATTGCACCCTACAGAATGGGAAAATATCTTAACTATACATTGATAGAGGGTTATTATCTAGACTATATAAGAACTACAAAATGGGGAACAGAGATAGTAAAATAAGTCCTCAAAATATGACATATAATTGCCTGAGAAATTCAACCTGCCTTATGAAAGTATTATAGCTGGGAGACGGTGACACACGGCTTTAATCCCAGCATTTGGGAGGCAAAGGCAGGCGGTCTCTATGAATGAGGCCAGCATGGTCTACAGCACTAGTTCCAGGACAGGCAAGGCTACAAAGAAACCCTGTCTCCAAAAAGAAAAAAGAGAGAGAGAGGGGAAAGGAGAAAGAAAAAGGGAGGGAGAAGTAAACTGAGGGAAGAAAGACTGACAGACTTAAGTGAAAAAGATTAAAAAAAGACAAAGAAATATTATAACTGATTTTATCTCATACCAGTCATGATTGCTCTTTGTGACAAGGATAAGGGCAAAGGAAACCCTTATTCATTGCTAGAGGGCACGTAAATTGGTTCAGGCACTATGCTCAGTATGGCAGCTTAGCTTTTAAGCCTTCAATATGTGGTACATCCAGGTACACAGTAAAGACATGGAAGAATCCAGAGAAATAGGAAGTAGAATATAGAGAGAGATAAAGGGCAAACTGTAATAGGTGGATTAGGGAGTATAAGGAAGCACACAGATTACACTTTTCTGAATGGTTTGCATGTGTTACATGCAGTTCTGGAGCCCTAGGATGACAGGAGGATCTGAGAACATTTGTGTTACAGATGGCTGTATAGCACCATGACTCTAGGAAACAAACGGCCAATAAGCTTAGACTGAGCTTAAAGACTGAGCTGTCATTTCTCCAGTCACCACGCTAAAATTAACACCTCAGCTCTGTCCCCAGGACCCACTTCACCTCAGGGGCCTTTGACATTCAAAATTGCACTGGTGGCCTTAGCACAGCAGAAAGAACAGGGAAGCTTCACAGTTCTCAGACATCATGGGGTCCTTGAGAAACATTCCCCCCTGTTGCTAGAGCAAGGCAGTTGCCCAAGAAGTCCTGCTCCAGTCGTCCAAAGGATCCGAAAGCCAGGCCTTTCTAGACAGTGCTTTAACATTCCTAAAGACAGCTTCTTATGTTGTGGTAAAATTATTTCATTGCTATTTCCTAACAGTAATATGGCTCCTGCAATATCGCCCACAGGTGAGAAGCACTGTGGCAGTGGCAGTCAGACCTCGCCGTCTGTTACCTGTCCCTCTCAGGGTTCGTACCTGTTCATCCCGGGCAGGTTGCCCCAGAAGTATCGGGCCCTGTGAGCAGCAGAAACCTTGATGGCATCGATCATCACTGGGTTACACTGCAGGAAGAGAAGGGGAGCTGCTGGAGACACCCCAAGACTCAGCTTGAGCTGTCACTCAGCCCAGGTGTGACCTGGCAGGTGACAAGCCTTTCCTACCTAAACAAAAGGTAAGGAGACAGACAGTTCCCGCCCAGAGGCTGCTGGAGAGAACAACACAGGAAGGAGGGTCAAGAGCTGAGGATTAGACCTGCCCACATTGCTTCATGTCAAATTTATGTTTGCAGAAGGTTGTGCAGGCAATGTATGCACACCTAAACAAGGGTCCAAGACAGCCCTATCACGTAGGGTGGATAAGCTGTAAGCCAGCCGTGGTAGTGCACACCTGTAATCCCAGCTCTCTAGAGGCAGAAACAGGAAGATTAAAGAGTTCAAGAAAAACCAATGGTAGGTGAGACCATCTTCAAACAGAAGAAGAGAGCCAGCAGGATGGTTCAGCAGGAGTGACCAGAGTTTGATTTCCAGAAGCCACATTGTGGAGAGAATGGACTCCAGAGTAATCCTCTGACCTTCACACACGCAGCCTGGCAGGTGTGCCTGTGTGCACACATACAAAATAAAGCTTAAAGAGGAGCAAACCAAGAAAGGGAAAGACAAAAGCCTACTCATTTCCCCACAGCCCTGACAACAGCCATTGTCAATGCAAATAAGATAGGAGAAGGGCCACTAACAAGGATGGGGTGAGCTAAAGGGATCAGCTAAGTTGAAAGGGCCTCCTGCTGTTCATCCTCAGATCTAGCCAGTACCCTCCAACCAGGAAATCATTAAGCAGACTTTAGAGTAAGGGCTGCATTCCCTGCCTGGGTTCCCCTGGGTTCACTCACCGCCAAGAATCTGGAGATGTCTTTCTTGTCATTAACCTTCATGGCCACCACATTCTCAAACATCCAGAAGAACGGACGGTTGTCGCCCTCCTTGGGGCGTGTATAATTCAGCAAGTGGTAAAACTCAAAGAAGAGCCGGCCAGTACCCTCTGTATTGGCAAGAGGAATGGAAAACAGAGTTCAATACAAACCGCAACTTTCCAAGGACACGGCAGGAAAGAAAAGCCTGTACCTGCTGTGCCCTGGAATGATGAACAACATGATCCGGCCTAGGCTATGTACGAGCACGGCACCCTTGCAGCCTATTCCAGATGAACTCCCACTGCTCGGAGTGGCTCTGAGGTCACCATCCCAGGGAATCGACTCACCATATAGGCCTTTCCTGGCAGGATTGACATTGGAGAGGTCATTGCAAGGGCTTCCACCAATCACCAAGTCAAAAGGGCCCCACTCATCAATCTGAGGGGAAAACACAGAGGGATAGGATCTTGAGGAAAAGAACTAAAACCTTGGATTCTGTGGGAAACTTAAAAAAATATCAATTCAAAAATCATCCTTTGTCACCCCAAAATATCTGACCCAGATACCTCAATGCTCTTGCTTTATCAGAACTAACCAATCTTGAATTATACCTCAAATTGCCTTTTGCACATTTTCTCTGAACTACTCACAGCTTCTCCTACCTGCACCCTGAACCTGAGGAACGGGGACAGTGTGGCATTAGACAAGGAGGGCCCAGGGTATAGAAGGATAAGGAAGATGAGATGAACTCCAGGAAAAAGGTCACCCTCACATTTTTCTTTGTGATTTTCCTGACGTCGTTCACATATTTGATTTGGCCTTCATGCTTAACAGTTCCCACAGCGATGGACTCGGCACAGACTTCGGAGGCAACATACTTTTCCACTTTGATACCCAAGTCTTTGAGCACCAAGTACCCTGTGGGGGATCAAACAGAAATGTGAGGCCAAGAGGCCAAGTGCAGAGCCGTGAGCCCCACAGTTGATTTCCAGAACCCCAACCCAAATGAAGATCCCCTCACTCCATTACTGTCATTTCAAGAAATCTGTGGCCGACTCCAGAGGACATCACCGCATTGCCCATATAGGCTATGCTCATTTCAGGTATGGGGCATCTCACAAAATGGAAAGGAACCAGGAGTGAGGAAGTGTAAAAGTTAAAAATGCAATAGCTAAGAAGCATGTACCTTTAAAAAGGCACCAAGAACCCTGCAGGAGCCACAGCAGACCTGAGAGGGCTGTGCGTGTTAACTGAATCCCGTGCGCACACAAACTGAAAACTAGAAAGGAGCCAAGACATTTGTGTGTGTAGCCAGGAAACTTCCAGATGCTTGAGCAGAGGGAAAACAAGTCAAACAAGAAACATGTCCCTTTAGAAAGGGGCCAAGGAGGGAATGTGGCCGGTAGAGGAACTTGTCACCATGCCTGATACCTGGGTAAACCGCACAGGACAGTTGTCCTCTGATCTCCCCACGTGTCTACGGGGCAAATGCATGCTTCCTGTCACACACGCACATAGAATATTGTGAGAAGGTGCAAAGGCCATGGAGTGGAGCAAGAACAGGCACACGTGACATCCGGGTTACTACTGTTCTCAACTGTCACGGGGGAGAGACACCTTCAGCCTCCTGCCTCAACTCACCTGTCGCAATTCCATCAAACAGGGACAGGACTCTAATGGGTCTCCTCCTGGCTGCAGGAATTGCTGGGAACACCTTGGGCGGCTCCTGCCAGATAAGCAAAGAGAGAGTAATCCCTCAGAGTGTCCATCTTCCTCCTATGCCCAGGGGCTTTGATAGGAACTGGTAAGAATGTATCTGGCACAGGCTGGCCATTCTGTCCTCAGATAGGAGGCACAGCTGCCTCCTACAGACTCACAGGCCCAAATAGGGAGCTTGAGTGGCAACTGCCAAGGCCTCTAAGAACAGCAGATAAACTCCTACGGAGTGGGAGCAGCTGCCCTTGTCTCCCACAGCTCAGACATATCCTTCTTGTTCCCTGGTCAGAAGGTACTGGAAGGAGGAAGTGTCTGCTAGAGGTGTGGACTAGCAAGGGTTGTCAGCCTCTGGCAGGCATGGGCTCTTAGCCTCTGGCAGGCACGGGCTCTCAGCCTCTGGCAGGCATGAGCTCTGTGAGGTACAAATGGTACAGGGGAGGTGGAATCTAGCTGTACATTCCCGGCTGGCCTTGACCTCACTATTTAACACAGGCTGCCCTTAAACTCATCACAAAACTCATGGCTCAGCTTTCTGTGCTGGGACCTTTGTCGCCATGCCTGCCACTATCACCTTTATAGGCTGTTTTGACACAGGATCTCACTATATAGCCTCGACTGGCTAGGAACTCACTAAGTAGACCAGGCTGTCCTTGAACTCAGAGATGTGCCTGCCTCTGTCTCCTACAGTCAGAGATCAAAGGCTGGACTCTTGCTCTTACAGATGTACAGGATTCCGCCTCCCAGGGACTGTAATTGCATGAGACTGCACAGAGCCTCGGGCTTACAAATTCCTCGAGGTCAGGGTCAGTAGTGAAGAAGTCTTGCAGGCGCGTGTTCCAATCCCTCCTGCGCCTGAGGACCCCATGGCAGCGCTGTGGGAGGCACATATAGCAGCTCCAGGGTTCCTGCAGCTTGGCATCCTCAGCTGTCCCTGTACCCACCAGCACCTCCAGACACTCCACACAGAAGCACCTGTACCAGAGTATGCAGAGAGAATGGGCATCGCGGTTAACAGACATTTGTCCTGCGGGCCCAGTCAGTTCCCCAGGGCATGACCACTCCGCCTGATGCTCAGCCGCCTGCCACCGTGTGTTTTGAGCTATGCGGTAACAAATCACTTCCTGAATATGAATCGCTCAAACTCCCTTCAAATCTAGACCCTTGCAACAGAAACCTCCCAGGGACATCTGTCCTGAGCCCAGCAGTAAGTATCACTGCAGTCCATACTTGTGAGAAGATCCCACAGATATTGTTTGTTTCTAGCTGCCTGCAGGAACTGTGGGGTACACCGGGGATCCGAGGCCCTCGTCCAGCCCCACGGAACGACACTCACCTGCAGCAGCTTGTGTTGCTGCACAGAAGCAGCTCGCGGCCCTCGCAGCACACGGTGCAGTAGGACTGATAGCCGTCCTCATCGTACATGTAGAAGAGCTCCAGGAAGCGGTCCTGACCGCCAGAGAGAAGCACGTGAGACCACAGACCTGACCTCAGCCAGGCCTGGCTAGCAAGCAACAGTACATGAGATCTGAGTTCCTCATGGAGGGCCTTCTCTGCTGCAGTACCTGTCCACCAAACAGAAAGTGGGGGATGTGCCCTGGGAAACTGTTTACTAGGGCCTGGAGCAGGGACTGTGCTGGGAGCCTGGGTGAGGAAGGAAGGAGCAGGAGGAAGAGGCAGGCAGACTTACCCGGCAACTCTGACAGAGCCCACCCTCAAAGAGGGGGTGGAAGGACACAGGGTTCTTCCTACCGCAGGACAAACAGCGGTCTGCGGGAAAGATGGGGTGTCAGAGTTTACGGATACCAAGGGCCTAACATCAGCAGCTCAAGCCTTGAGCCTTAACAATCTAAAACTCTGCCTAACCCAGTACTAAGTCAATGACTTTTTTCTATGTTCAATGATGTGTTTCAATGTAACTTTTACAAAATACGATCCAGAGGTTTGTCTAAAAGAATAATACCAAATACCAGAAGAACTACCTACAAAAGAAGTTAAAGTAACTGCCTTGGATATTTGTAGCTCATACACTTCGTGGACATCAAGTACAGGCAGTAATGTTAACTGGAATTTGATTAGCAGATGACAGGAGAAACCCTACCAACGAGATAACATTATTGTGCCTTCAGACTCGAGGTTTCTCCTCTACCTTGAAATAATCAGTGTATTTTAACTAACTGGGTCCAACACCAGTTCAGAATTCATTTCTTTGTATCCTTGCACCCCAGCACTTGGAAGCAGAAGCAGGGGGTACTCCTGGACAGTCTGAGTTCAGGATATCCAGTGATAAGTAGAGTCTGGCAAGACAGGCAAACTGACAAGATAGATTGACATAAAAAATGTCACTAATGAATAATAAAGCTGACCAAGACCGTTTGACTGTGAGGTAGTACAAAAATACTGTCAAAGAATGTTCTGAATACCAGCTCTCCCAGGATGAAACAGACAAAGGGTGTGCTTCTCATCGTTAATGGATGTCACAGCTGGAATGTGTAGATATGCTTGGTGCAAGGACTTGTACATATGCAAATGGGAGAAGCAAGTTCCATTTGGGCGTCTCGTACCATTTTTCCTTTGTTTTCCTGCTCAGTGTGTGTGTGTATGTGTGTTCACACTGCATGCTTGAATGAAGACATCCCCATGACACATGTTTAGATCATAGTACAACTTCTATCACTCCTGTCCCTGAAAATATTCTCCCACAGATTCTCTTGTATTGACCTGTCAGCCCCGTAACTCCCTATAGAAGCCCTATGATTGTAGAAGCAGGCTTGGTCATTTCTGGGAAAATAATCTGAGGTCCTTACCCTTGAAATAGGAGCACATTACCCTGCACCATTTTCATGAACCCTTGTCTCTAACAGAGGGTAAGCCTATCTCCATCACATAGGGCAAAGCTACTGGAACAAATGAAATTGTGAAAACACTGTTTGCACCAAGCGGTGGCAGGGCATGCCTTTGATCCCTTTGATCGGAAGGTAGAGGCTGGCGAGTTTTGAGTTCAAGCCAGCCTGGTCTACAAGACTTCTAGGTTTCAAAGCCAGAGATACCCTGTCTCAAAAACCAAAAAAAGAAACGAGAGGAAAGAAAGAAAGAAAGAAAGAAAGAAAGAAAGAAAGAAAGAAAGAAAGAAAGAAAGAAAGAAAACACTGTTTACTCGGTCTATGTACTCACAGTGTCAAGAGGACAGCCTGCAAGTCTTCTTGACCAGGTATTATTGTAGTCAGTCTTACTAAGACTTCTCAAGCCCATTTTGGCTTTTTTGTGTGGTTTCATTAGTAACAAAAACAGGGCATTGAACAAACAAACATTTCCCAGGTCTAGGGACATAGTTTCTCACTCGCTACTAAGCAACAGTCACTAAGGACTAAGGAGAAGAAAGTTGGGAAGGCAAAGAGTTTCTCACACATTCAAAAACTCTATTAGGTTGGTGCTGGGCCAAAATGAATGCAAGGAAAACAAGTTCCTGGGACAATGGCAAATGGCTTGGCCAAAATGGTGCATCTCGGTAACCTCAGGACACTACTGTGATCTCCCTGGTCAGTAACCTCAGGGCAAAGTCACATTCAGTTAAAAATAGAAGGAAATCATATTACTTGGTCTAATAAATTTAGGACCACAAGGAGCAGGAGTGGTCCTGATCTAGGTCAATGCCCAGGGCTCTGGATTAAAACCATGAAGAAAATCAAAATCTGGCTAAGGCAAGCCTGGAGCACCCAAGAAGGGAGGACCGTGAGACAACAGTACCTTCTAGACTGACTTTGTTATTGGCAACATCAGAAGCCATCCGTTCTGTGGAGGAAAGAGGAACAGGTGTGAGATGAGGTGGGGAGTCTCCTTTCCCACACAGCCATGCACCTCTGAACCCCAGAGCAGTGGTCCTGAGGACCTGCTGCTCCTGCTGCTGCACCCCCCAAATTCACCTCGGCTCTCATCATCCTCTCCTCGGTCTTTCCCGCCATAGCTATTGGTCTTGAGGCGCTTGGGTGGGGGACAGTACTCAGCAGAGGCAGAGTCGTTGGTTGTGCGTCTTCGACTTTTGTTCTCTGGAAAGTAAGCAGACAGACTTGACCAAAGGCTAAGAGACAAGGCAGGCCTAGGACAAGACCATGCTATGTCTGAGATCCAGCTGCATCTAGAGCAGGGGACTGGGATGGTGTAGAGAGCCCCAGAGGGGAACCCAGAGCAGAAGTCAGTTCCAAGTTCCCCCCACATGGGAAGCAGGCCAGACTCATGCTCCTGGGGCTTCCACATCAGAGTGTGGAGGAGAATCCATCCTTCTAGAGCCAGCCCTGAGCACAGTCTGACCACAGCTGGGGCTGAATTCCTACAGTGACGCCCACAACAATGTCCAACGGGAGCATGGAGCTATTGGGTATTTGCATTGTCAATAGGAACGGGATTTCTTACTGAGAATCACGTCCAAATTATCAAGGGATTCAATAGAATTGACTTAATGGAATCCACTTTAGCTAATGTTACAATTAGTTAATATGGTGATGTCTATAAACCAATATATCTTAAGACATCACTAAAAAACTGAAATCTAAATTTTTATAATAATTTTGAAAGTAGATAAATGTATAAACACTAATTTCAGTTATTCCATAACTAGAAAATTATTAAATTGATTTTTATTGCTGAGTTTGATAGTCCATGCCTTTAGTGACAGCATTCAGAAAGCACAGACAGGGAGTTCAGATCACCCAAATCTACATAGAAGATTCTAGAACAGTGAGGGCTACCGTCAGACCCTGTTTTAAAAATATATTTTTTTTAAAGATTTATTCATTATATACACAATGTTCCTCCTGCCTGTACACCTCCATGCCAGAAGAGGGCACCAGATCTCATTATAATTGGTTTTGAGCCACCATATGGTTGCTGGGAATTGAACTCTGGAAGAGTAGCCAGTTCTCTTAACCTCTGAGCCATCTCTCCAGCCCTTAAAAATATTTTTTAATGTGGTTCACATTCTAGTGTTTTTATATTGACTCATAATACAAATTATTAAATATGACTCCTCCAACTAAGAAAATAATTTTTTCTTCTGTGACAGGTTTTTCTGTGTAACCCTGGCCGTCCTTGAACTAGCTGTGCAGGCTGGGTCTTGAGTTCTGCCTGCCTTTGACTTCTGCGTGCTGGGATTAAAGGCATGTTCCACCATGGTCTGGCAAGGAAATAAAGTTATAAACCCAACAAAATCTATAAGGAGGTGTGATGACACACTTCTATATCAAAATCTAGCCTGGGGTATATGATGAGGCCCCGTCTCTAGAAACTTCTAAAAACATGGTCACTGAGAAAGCCAGTAGAGACTATAACCCTGAACAAAGTCTCCATATTATCTTAAAAACACCAAAATTCAAAGAGCCTTTGATGATAGAGTGACAATTACCAGTGCTCGTACATGTCATTAATATTCAGAAACAAGAGACGGTGTGATAAACAAAACAGTGTAGAAGGCTGTGCACCCGTGGTTAGCCTGGGGTCAGTGAGGGTGGGGAGTGAGGGGGAGGCAACTTAGGTGACTTGATTCTTCTCCAGTAACCCTGTGATGCCAAGAGATTGAAAGATAGAGGGAGGAAAACAGAACCTTCAAAGGTGGTAAGTGAATACCGTGTCTCCTGCGCTCTAACTTCCTACTGCCTGAACGGTGCACCTTCGACTTATTAACCACTTTTGCAGGAAAACAAAACAAAAGCATTATATTAGGGGACGTTCAGGTACAACCTTGACTTTGTTCTGTGGAATCATGGGTATATTCAGGGAGATAAGAGACCTGCCAAAATGGCAGGTAGCAAAATGTATTTTTTTTTTTTATTTTAAGTAAGAATGGCCACAAAGGTAAAGGATAAATTTGGACATGTGGGAAAGATTAATTGCACACCCGCGGCAACAATATGGCCAGGGAAGCCTAACAAGGCAGGAGTTGGCCCTCAAGTTTTCACAGGTTTTAACAGAACTGGGGTCTATAGGGTAACAAGTAGGCCTTGCTTGCTTGGCCCAATGAGAATGAGATGAAGGCTATGTCATCCGCACTGATATAGATTCACTCCTACCTGGTTGCTTGTTGTTGGGTTTGAGGCCCTCAATGCCAGTGGGCTTGAAGCCCCCATGGGCCCATTCCAGCATGGGCTTCAGCTGGTCCTCCAGTGAGTCTCCCGGGCTGCTGGGGAAGGTCTTGCCAGCTCGCACCCTGGCTCTCTGCCAAGAAACAAATAAAGGCAACGTCTGTCCATGAATGGGAGCGAGCCAATGAGGTATGTGCCAGGGTGAACCCAGGGATTCCTCCTGCTGGGGCCTGCATTCCCTGAACACTGGTGTCTTTCAGAGTTGGACAGCTGTCTTGGGCTGCATTATGAGAAAGGGATCTGCTTTTGAGAAATAGAGACATCGTGACCGAGATATTTTCAGATCCCTAAAAAGAGATTGATTAAGCTGAGCAAGTTGGGCAGTAGTAGCACATGCCTTTAATCCCACCACTTGGGAGGCAAAGGCAGATGGATCTCTGTGATTTTGAGGTCAGCATGGTCTACAGAGAAAGTTCCATGAGTGGCTCCATAGCTACCGGGAAATCCTTTCTCAAAAACGAAAGAGGAAACTGTAGAAGCAAGGGTTTGGGCTGTCCCATCTCATCTCCAGAGTTGTCTTCTGCAGGGTACAGCCAAGCTCTCAGAATGCCAGGGATCCAGAGAACTGGGACCTATTATTTAGGCACTTTTCGAAGTGGAAACAGGGCTATTCGGGCCAGAGTGAGTGAGGTAAACCAAGAGCCTAATGATTCTCGGGGATAAAATGTCTACAACTATAGTAAGAGAAACTGTCTCCTCTATGCTTAGAAATCCTGTTCAGAGCTTGGTAAAGAGCCCTTTTTAGTAGTATCACTATGCGACCACAGAAGCCTAGTTAGCACCCACACCCATGTTACCTCCAGAGTGTGGTATATGGCTTTCCTATAGGAAACCAGCTTATTGAAGGTGGTCAGGTTAAAGTGCTGGCTGAATAGCCCCAGGGCCATGAGTTTGTCAGCAGAGACCTAGGAGAGAAAAATAAGATTACGATCAACTCACATCTGAGCCTAATGTGCACTAGCTCACCCAGAGCCAATCTGGTGACACCTGACAGATGCCAGGACTGAAACATGAAGGGCAAAGGAGAAATCACACACAGAGCAGACTTGGCAGCTGAGAAACTCCAGATGTGGATAAGAAGGATAATTGAAGCAAAATTAGATCTATCCTGTGGCCCGCCCATGTGTGCATACAATTGTGTGAACAGCGTGAACGTCCCTGAAACTGTCCCTGAAGTATCTGAACATGGTCTTTACCTTCGGGGTGTACGTGGTAACTGTTGACTCCCAACCAATAAGTACTCCCTGTCTCGATCACTAATGGCAACCTGACTTATGCAGATAAAGAAATGTATTATGGGTGGAATTCCTAACGAGTGCAAAGATATAATAAGGTGACTCAGGCTACTTATCACAATTCTAGGACATATGGGATGTCACAGCAAGCAGCACTTACTTTCATGCTCTGGTGTGGCCACCATGGGTGACAAGTGCCAGATGCTCTAGCCAACGTGAGTAAAAAGTAAGGCAATGAGTGTGCTAAACAGGTTCTGGGCAGGTCTTGGCCTTTTCTCTGGACCATGGCAAATTGAAACTATGTCCTATAACCCACCATCTCCATGACACCCCTTATTGCCATCTGGACCCTTTCTAGAAGTGAGTAATTATGTCTCACTGACTCAAAACAACCACAATGTCCCTGTTTCTTTATGCTTCAGAGACATACACCAAAGCAACAAGTCCTACTGCTCCCTCTGCTGTTGAAGCTGACAATTGCAGGTAACCTCTCAGGTCAAATTGAATGTCCTATTATTCTTACTCACGGAAATGCTGGATCCACTTCAGGAAAACAGTCAGAGAATACCAACTGGTAGGGAAGAAAATATTAAATGCAACAAAGTACTAAATGCCACCTCGCTCACCTGCATGCTGTACCTTAGGAACTCCTTCCTGGGCATCAGCCTAACACTACCAGGAAATCACAAAATCTTTGCGGAGGGCTGGTTAAGGGTTCCTCCTCTAGAGCACTTGGTTAGATTCCCAGCACCCAGATGGTAGCTCATGACTGTCATTAAGCCCAGAGACAAGAACCACAGGATACTGATCTGAGGCCCTTCCTCCGGTCTCCCATGATGTACAGAAATAAACGCAGGGAAATACCTATACTAATGAAAAAAATTTTTTTCTTGAGACATAGTTTCTCTGTGTAACATCTCTCGCTGTCCTGGAACTAGCTCTGTAGACCATGCTGGCCTTGAACTCACAGAGTTCCACCTGCCTCTGCCTCCTGAGTGCTGGGATTAAAGGTATACACCACCACTGCAGGGCTGATTATTTATATATTTGGTGTTTTTGTTTTCTTTTGTTTTTCAAGACAGGATTTCTGTGTGTAGCCCTGGTTGTCCTGGAACTCCCTCTGTAGACTAGGCTAACCTCAAACTCATAGAAATCTGCTTGCCTCCCAAATGCTGGTATTAGAAGCATACGCCACTGCCATCTTTGATGAAATATTTTAAAGTAGAACTTATGTGTTTAACCGGTAATATTCAAATGAGGGCTGATGGGATGAAGAACCTACCTAGCTAATACAGTTTTGTTTTTAATGAGACAGTTTCTTTATGCAGCCTCTCTGTCTGTTTCACAGACAGACAGTGGCGGGGGGGGGGGGCGTGCCCACTGAAGGCAAAGCATGGAATTTGACCTGGCACTTGAGTGCCATGCAAATGTGGGCACCCTGATGTAAGTGCTGCTTCCCTACTTTCCAGGTAGACAGGCTGCACACACCTTGAGTCCCAGATCTCAGGAGGCAGAGCCAGCCTATTACATACACTGAGTCATAGACCAGAGAGTTACAATGAGACCCTGTCACTAAGCATAAGAATGAAGAAGTTTATGGCCGATCCAGACATGTAACACAAGAAGTGTTTTTCTTAACTCCAGTCCCAGTGCCAAACTTACTGCATCTATATACAGAATGTTGACTTCAAAGCCACCCCAAGAGAAGCAAGGCCTCTGGTAGGAAGAGCCCACCTTGCCACAGGACTCACCTCTGAAAATTTGCCGTCACCAAACCACTGTACCCATCGCATGCCGGGCATGGCCTGGCGCTTAGAGGTGGCTTTCCAGGACACCACCATAGCAGGCCACCAGGAAAATCCCTTGATTTTTCCCCACACAAGGTCACCTATTCCAAACTCCTTGTCATCCTGGAAGAAGAACCAACAGGAAGAATTGTAGTCACCAAGGCAGGTGAACCCTGACCAAGGGCAAGAAAAAAAGGCTGGTCATAAAATGATGCATGCAATTGAGAAATAGCACAGTGGTGTACAAAAAGGGGCCCAGGAAAAATTAATTTGTTTTTATGAACTTTTTTTTACTTTTAGTTGGTATGGTTGTGTCCATATCTGATTGCATGTGTGCAACACACATGTCCCTGTCTCAGGGATTGAACTCAGTTGACGCTTGGTACCAAGTGTCTTTCTTATAACACGTTTTTGTGCCACTGAGCCAGGTCACTGAAAACATAAAGAAGCCCATGGCAGGGTTGGAGAGATGGTTCAGTAGTTAAGAGCACTGGCTGTTCTTCCAGCGGTCCTGAGTTCAATTCCCAGCACCCACATGGTGACTCACAACAATCTGTAATGAGATCTGGTGCCCTCTTCTGGCGTGTGGGCATACATGGAGGCAGAACATTGTATACATAATAAATAAATGAATCTTTAAAAAAAAAAAAAAAAAGAACCCCATGGCCATCCTTGATTACATGTCCCTTAGCTAACTATAACTCCGCTTCACAAAAACCAATACAGGACATCAGTAGATATTATGAAGCAATACAAAATTTGACATTGTCCAGATACATATGCCCACACAGAGGAAGACTACCTGGTGATATAGATCAACAGTCTAAACTAGTTAAAAATGTTCCAGGCCATAAATACTGTCCAAAAATAAAGTCCACATGGTGACTATTCAGATGCCGGTGGGGATGAAAGAAAAGGCCATATTGTATTTGGAAAGTCTTTGGATTATAACTCTAGTAAAATTAACAGAAATTCATGTAGCATATTCTTATATTCCCAGCATTCGGTAAAACAAAGATTTGGTTATACAAAATCTTTTTTTTTTTTTTTTTGAGACAGTGGTTCACTATATAGCCCTGGCATGAAACTTCTATGTAGATCAGACTTGCCTCTGCCTCATGGGTTTTATATGTATGCTATGACACAATCTTACACAATCTTTTAAACATAAATAAAATACTAGGCAGTGCTTGCATGTGCCTTTAATCCCAGCACCTGGAAGGCAGATGAGGAGGATCTCCATGCATTTGAGGCCAGCCTGGAACAAAAGTAAATCTCAAGGCAGCCAGGGCTGTTACAGAGGAACCACCTTGAAAAACCAAAGTCGAGGGGGGGGGGCACTGAGTCACTAATTCTTACAGTTTTCTTTCCCCTGTACTTTGGGGATCTTGTGCACCTGGGTTCCCTTCTCAGTGGTACCTGATACTCAGTGCTGTCTCCATCTTTGCCTTCTGCCTCCAGCTGTGTAGTGTCTATGCTCTCCTGATTGATGTCCTGGGTCATGTCAATTGATGGGAAACTGCTGTTCTGAGGTGTCCCTTCTTCAACGAAGGAAGGGCTGGCAGGGGACGACCATGGCGTGCTTGCTGACGATGATGCCCGACGCCTCCGAGACTATAGGTAGAAGGACGAGATTGAGACCCATTGGCAAAGCAGAAGAGGGTACACAAACAGTACCCAACAGGTTCCCTGAGAATCAAGCATGAAAGAACAAACCAGCTCCCCAGAAGACAGGGTTACAGGGACAGGGACTGGCAGTCACTCGACCCCCAGGTAGGAGACAGAATAAACAGTAAGAGTGTGATGATGGGCAAGGACCAGAGAGGCTCTGGAAGCTGAGCTCAGAGAGGATGGAGTCTGCATAACTGGATCCTGTGCATCTGGAAACACGTGGAATATTCTGAACCTGCTGTGGTTGCCTCAAGACAGCAGGAAAAGACATAAGAGACATGGAAGGAAGACACCAGTGGCTTTCAGCTGAGCTCTAAGGTGGGTCAGAGACCTCTTGCCCCCTCAAAGTAATTCCAAGTACGATGAGTCAGGAAAGAAAGAAGCCAGAGCCTGCAAGGCAGGAGCATGAAGAAAGCATAGGTTACATCCACACAGTCAGTGCTGTGCAGCGAGTGAAGCAGATCTTGCAATCAGAGATAGGACCAACCCTGGTAGCTGGGAACTCCACGGGGTATTCCTGCACATGGCGTCGGCCCTGGCGGCCTCGGGTGATTCTGGGGGAGGCTCTTTGCCTCCCTAGCCTGGAGGTACTGTTGTTATTTCGGGTTCGCATCTGAAAGTAAGAAAGGATAAACACTGGACCTTAGGTGAAGGGACTCAGGGGAACCAATGAAGGCTCCCAAAGGTTCCTTAAGACAGCCTCAAGTTGACCTGAAGTGAAGAAGACAATTGGATATAAACATGAGTCCCATGTCACAGCACAGATTTGACTACCTGGCAGCAGCACATAGAGACTAAGCAGTTGTTTGCCTTAAACCAGTATTTCTCAACTTTCCTAATATAGTTCATATTGTGACCCCCCAGTCATAAAATTATTCCGTTGCTACTTCATAACTGTAATTTTAAAGGAGTTGAGTAGTAACATAAATATCTGGTATGCAGGGTTATCTAATGTGTGACCTGTGTGGAAGACTCATTCGACCTCCAAAGGGTCACACCCACCTTAAGCCAAGCATTATTTCAAAAGGCTCAAGCCTGAAAATGCTGGCTTATTTAGGAAAGCATTGGGGATGGGGCACACGTCAGAAAAGCTCAGTTTTCTCAGAGTAGTGTGAACCTGCCTGTGGCCACCACTTATTCAAATTCTATACAACAGTTGATGGTTAGTGTGGCATCGTCTGCCTGTAATCCCACCATTTGAGAGAATATCATAGGGGGCTGAAGAGATGGCTCAAAGGCTAAGAACTCCGACTACTCTTCAGAGGACCCGGTTCAATCCCTACTACCCATGTGGCAGCTTATAACTGTCTATAACTCCAGTTCCTGGGAACCCAGCACCCTCAGACACATAAACAGGCAAAACACCAATGCGCATAAAAAAATTAAGAAAAAAAGACTGACGTAGGAAAGCCAAGTTCAAAAACAAGAGTTGAAGTAACTAGAATTCTATGTGTACAATGAGGGGAATACAAACTCATAAAAGGTGATAATACAGTAGCAGCCATTTCAACAACTCTTTGCCTGTTTTTTGTTCTGATTGGTGGATGTTTCTTCTGTTTCGTTTTGTTTGAGATGGTATTATTTATTCCTCTCTGGTCAAGGGTGGATTAGAACTCACTGCACATACCAGCCTATTCAATGTTTTCTTGAGCCTGGGCAAACACTCATAGAAGACAGTGACTCACAGAAGCAACAGGCAACTGAGTCACCACCCAGACAACTACAAATCCATCACATGCGTTAGTCATGAGAAAGAAATGGCATGATGAACAAGTAAGAAACCAGCAATGTTCAGGCTGACAGATGTGTTCCAAAGTTTAAATCATTGGAGGGTTGTGAATATAGCTAAACCACTAGAATATAGCTTATTTTGTATAAGCTCTGGGTTTAAGCTGCAGCTGCAACCAGGTGTGAGGTGCATGTCTGCAATGCATCACAAGAGAGGCAGGTCAACTATGACCTGAAGACTGATCATGCCTCCAGCTTCCAGGCACCAGTGTTGCAGGAGTTCCATACACCCAAGCAACATCTCATCTCCTGGCATCAGCAGGGATCTGCATTTAAACATGATCACACAGTGAGGGTGAGATACAGCCTGTTGTTGCATTGGTGACATTAATTCAGGACCCTGGAGCTTTAGTGGGGAAAGCAAATGATTGCAAAAGGCTCCTCAATGGGATGGTAGTCAGAAATGTTGATGATAACCAAAAGTTAAGTGGCTTAGTTCATCAAGCATTTGGTGACATGTTCAGTGTGTTAATCGGACACAGCTCATCTGCTCTCCACTCTGTCAAATCTTGTTTTTACCTTGAGGTTCAGGTTATGATCTAAATTATCCTGCTGTGGCTGGGGGACATCAAAACTTAACTAAGGGGTTCAGTGGATTAGGGAACTTGCCAAAGCCTGCTGCTCCTTGAGTTTGGTCCCTGGAATCTCCAGCTGGAAGTATAACCTATTCTCATGTGTTGTCACTGGCCTACAAACATCCAACACACATAAAATCAAATGTGTCCAAAAATTTGTTTAAATAATTGTCTAAGCCTTATTTTCTATGCAGGCCCAGGAAAGGTAGGAGGTGCCTGAGTTCGGCAGGTGGGACTTACAGCTGGGCTTTCAGAAGGTGACCTGGTCTCCTTGGTCTCACGTGTGAGCTTTGGCATCAGTAGAATATCATCGCCATCCCCATCCTCTGCCTCACCATCTCCATTTCCTGTCAGGTCCTATGTTAAAGGAAAGAGGACGATGTAAGGGAAACAATGGTACAGAAGCATCATTCCCTTGACATTACCCTACGAGTACCCAAAATACATAAATACATCCTATAGTCACCTGGGTTTTTTTTTCTCTATTTAAAATTTCACACCTGCTAATCACATGATCGTTCACAAATACTGGGTTGAGAAGATAAATCCCAGATCACCAGCAAGTTAAGGAAATGACTCTAACGTAGAATGCTGCCTGCCAGGCACCCAATTAACTTAGTCACAACACAAGTGAGAGGACAGGAGACATGTGGGTTGTTAAGGCCACCTGGCTTACAGTGACATCTAAGACACCAGAAACTGTCTCGGACAACCAAACACCAAACATACAATGGCCAAGGTGAGCCCATTCCAGAATGAGTCGAGTTTTGTTCTATTAGCATACTGATGACAGATAGGGAGACATAATTTCAAATATACAGGAAGGAAGGAATAAAAGACTTTCCGGTGCAGCAAAGAATTTCATTTGTCTGGCTTCTCAGGCAATCTAAACTGAAAGGTGCAAAACCACATGCTGAGAAGAGGTGGTACCTGAGTGTAACTCAGCAGGCCGGAGACCTCCCTCTTTGACAGCCTTGATCTTGATCTGCGGCCTGCAAGGAAGAGTTGGGAGTCCACATTTGGGAAGTAGGACAGTGATCACCAGCCTGGAGAGTGGCCTTGCTAAAAGGCATCCTCAACATTCTGTCTTGGGCCAACCCCAAGCCAGTCATTTTAGGAAGCCAGTGTCCCTCATCAGCTCCATGAACTCACAGGGAGAAAGGACAGAGGGCCTGGATTCTGCCTTCCTCTCCACAAAATAAGCATTGATATCTAAGGAGGAAGAGAAGCCCATTCCTTCCTAGTCCATGCCATGTAACTGGCTGACAGGCTACATTTCCAACTTTCCCATGGCCAAGCAGCTCTTGGGATAAACAGGGAAACAGGCCACTTTTAGCCGGTTCAGAATGTCCTAATGGACACTGTAGAGGTCAAGAATAAGAAAGGACAATACAGGGGACTCCAAACCAGTAGTGGAGGACTTTCAGGTGGTCTGGGAGCTTCTAAGAGGAAGAGGCAAAGAGGCAGCATCTCCCCATCATGATGAAGCCCATATCAACAGAAGATAACCAATGAGCCAGTCTCTGCTGAGACCAATCACGGAGCCTGCAGTGTCAGAGCTATGATGCTCACCTCTGCTCTCCAGTGTGCTGTCAGCCTCTGTGCAGATTGCCTCCAAGACTGGGGGTGAGGGAGCATCCTTAGTGTCTGAGGAATGGTCACTACAGTTCCCATTGACAATGACACATTCCTCACCCCCACTGGCACCCTCTTCTTCATTCAGATGTCTGCTGTCTCCCTTCATTGTTTCCTGGGAGAAAAGATCCGGATAAGTAGGAGAAACGGGGGCATGAAGGGGCTGCATATTCCAAGTTTTATATCACAGGTTCTCTATTCTCAGCCCAAGAAACCCCAGGACATATTCCGAGGCTGATATCCTGTCCATATTCCCAGATGCCTCCTAATTTGGAGGCTCAGGACCTGGTTCAATGTGGCTGGCTAGGTGGGCTCAAAGTCCCAAGACAGAAGAGGAGGGTGGTGCTAAGGCTGGGGTCTGAGACTAGGGCTGCATTACAATTGGCCAGTACTTCAAACAATGCCATTTAGGGCATGCTTATCTGGGCCCACTGGAGCCAACCTAAGATCTCTTCTTCCTGGCCCCTTTTCCCTGACCAGCCTCTGCAGAGCCAGTTCACTCTTCCATCATGACCCCTTTGTTTGGGTCTCTAGGTCTCCTTTCCCCTTGCCCCTCCTCTCAGATAGGCTTCTCAGCAGCACAAGACCCACCCTAGCCCATCCTCTGGGGCCCATTGGTCAGTGGACCTGTCACTCATTGCCTCCCTCATCAGCTGGGGATGAACCTCAAGTTCTGAAGGGAAGGAAGAATGTAGGAAAAGCAGTGGCAAAAGGCTGTGGCAGTCACCAGGATTGACAGATCTTACTTGTTGTGGCCTTGCCCCAGACCCAGGACTTGGTCTTCCTATTGCTGTCTCTCTAGTAATCCAGCTAAGACTGTGAGAACCAGGTCCTCAAAGATGAATCCGTAAGCCTGTGTGACCCTTGCCCTGACTCACACAACACTATGAGCACCAATTAGGCATGTGTACATGTAAGAATCTGTACCTGTCCGGGTAACCTGTACACGCTTTGAATCAACACTCAGGAGAGGTAGAGGCAGATGGATCTCCAGGACACACGGGGCTACATTGTAAGATCCTGTCTCAAACCTCAAACAACCACACACACACACACACACACACCCAAAAAAAAAAAAAAAAAACAAAACTGTACCTTTCTAACAGACAACTGTGTGCCCATTCTGGTGCCCCTGGAAAGAACCTGAGGTCAACACGAAAATGCCTCAGAAGACAAAGGATGCTGAGAATGTGGTGCTTGCCTGGCATTTCAGGACCAGAGTTAGAAGACCAGCACTGCAAAAATTATGAATGGTAAAATATGGCCCTGACTCTAAAAATGAAATAAGGGCCACGCACACAGGAGACAAGGATCTCTCTCTGTGAGTTCAAGGTCAACCTGGTCTGTAGAGTAAGTTCTTAGAGAATTTACCACCATGAGAAAATTAAAGCTATCCATAGTTGCTCACATTTGTAATAATTTGTAAGAATTTGGTAAACTAAGAAACATAGCCTCAAAAGTCAAAGCCAAAGGGCTACACAGATAAGCCCTGCCTTGAAAAATAAAAAAAGGGGGGGCTGGAGAGATGGCTCAGAGGTTAAGAGCACTGCCTGCTCTGCCAGAGGTCCTGAGTTCAATTCCCAGCAACCACATGGTGGCTCATAACCACCTGCAATAAAATCTGGTGCCAACTTCTGGCCTGTGGGGACACATGCAGGCAGAACATTGTAAAAAGGGGGCGGGGAGAAGACAAACAAACAAAAACCAGACTGGACCACATAGTGAAACCTACTTAAAACTAAAGTCCCAGAACTGAGAACGCAAAAGCAGGCAGATTCCTAAGAATCTGAGACCAGTCTAGTCTACATAGCAAGTTCCAGGACAGCCAGGCCTACATCATGGGACCCTGATAAATAATTAAGAGATGGAGAGATAGCTCAGTGGTTGAGAGCACTGGCTTCCCACTTTTTCTTCCAGAGCACTAGGATCAATTCCCAGCACCCAGATGGTGGCACACAATCCTCTGTAACCGCAGTTCCAGGGGAGGCACTGTGCAGACATCTATGCAGGCAAAACACCCACCAACCAAAGTAAATAAATCTTTTCAAATAATAAAATTATGTGAATCAAATATAGACAAAAAGGCTTTTTATCCCCCCAGGAAATGAACGTTAAGTTTACTTTTTCATTCTGTCAGAGACAGATTCTACTGTATCCAAGAATCCTTAGACAGTGCAGGCTGGCTTTGAACCCATAGCAGTTAGCCTCAGAAGTACTGAGATTGGAGGCGTGAACTATGCCTGGCTTGCTCCTTCAGCTGTGTGCGTCCACCCTTTTGATACTGAAATATGTTAACTACAAATCTCAGGCATGAGAACTAGATATATCAAGTCTATACACACACACACACACACACACTACTGTTTGGTTTTTTAGTTTTGTTTTGTCCTTTTGTTTCTTTGTAGTCCTGACTGCCCTCCCGAGTGCTATCAGAATTAAAGGCATGCACACTGTCGTAAGTTTCTACCTTTGAACTGATTTCAGTTATCCACGGGCATCAGGTTGCATCATGCCTGGAATCTCATCCTGTGTTCACGTCGTACAGCCCAAGGAAGTCACTCACCACATACCCTTATGTGCAGGAACTCTATCTGGTTTCCGGTCTCTTCCTTGCTCAACACTCACCATGAAAAGCTATCGACCAGGCGAACCTTCTAGAAGCAGCACCTAGTGCTGGTGCCAGAGTACATGATAGGCTTCTTACCCACCAAGAGGCGCTGTGTAGCTCAGGATGAACAGGCCCCATGTTGCCCAAGGGTATATTTGCAATTTATTCAAGGGAGCCCATACTGCCTCCTTTATACTTGCCCAAGCATGAGCTCTCCCCAAATGGGGTATGTGGACCTCATTACAACTGCAGGCCAGAGCCAGAGCCAGAGCCAACCTTGGACTTGATAATGCAGGCTTTCGCTACAATCTCAGTCTCAGGCTAAACCTAACTAACCTGCTCCACCAGGGTTTTAAACTTTATCAAGATCCTTGGCTGATTAGTCTGCACATTAAAGATTCACTGTTCTTACACAGACAAACAGAAAATGAGCTTCCTTCACCTGCACCCGTGATCCACAGAGCTTGGACTTCTTTCACAACTCAAGGACTGTCTTCTGACCCCCAGGCTAGGGGAAGTGTCTGATCCAGTCCCATTAGCAACGCACCATGGCTTGGTAGAACAAAACGGCTAACTGAGGCCAGTTCCTGAGGCCAGAAAGGCAGACTTTCAGGAAGGCTGCTAGAATGTGTTCAGAATAAGCATTTCCCCTCAGACCATATCAGTGTCACTAAGCAATCTGAGTGGCCTGCTCTGAGTGGGAGACTGAACCCTAGTGGGACACTTGAGGGTCCAGGCCCTCAAGACACTGAGAGGGGGAGCCATTCAGTCAAGAGCTGGTGTGGGGATGGAGCCCTAAAGCAAGGGCATGCATGACCTCCTGCAGGGTGGGCGGTGGGTTTTCTCACACAACCTTGGACTTCAGTCCCTCAGACAGGCCCTAACTGGGTCACCAGCAGCCAGACAGGACTGGTGCCCTCTTCCTACACAGGTCCAAGCGGACCTGCTGCCAAGAGCTGACAATGATTAACTACCTCAGACCTTCCCCCAGGGCATTAGCAATGCCTAGTAGGCTAATGTCTGATAGGTGGGCGGCATCCCTTCCCACAAGCACACCAGTACCCCACAGAACTCCTGCCTGGTCCCACAGCCAGGGCCTGGCAAGGAGCCCTGTCGTTCCTGCCCATTACTTGGGTGCCCTGTACAGGATGAACTGTCCCCCTACACACTGGGGCTGGCCATTACTCCTGTTAAAAGCACTTCTCTGGCAGAGCGGCTCAGTTGCCCTGCAAGGTGGCTTACAACTGCTGCAACTCCAGTTACATGGGCCTGCCTGACTGCCTCTTCTAGTCTCCTCAAAGACCATACCATGCTCACATAGTACGGTCCAGGCCATTCAGGCCTACAAGTTACACCCTCCCTACAAAACAGACTGGATATATAACTTAGGTAAAGAGAACTTACTTGCCTAGCATTCATAGAGCCTGGCACCCCCAAAAGTCAGTTCACCCTCAGGGATTGATATATGCCAGATAACAAATCTCTTCCCAGGTACCTCATTTTGGCTTCTGGCAGCTCAAAGCTAACATTTCCTGAGTAATATGGCCCCTATCACAAGCCAATTGCCTTCATCTACTGATTTTCCAGTAGGATTGCTAAACTGGCTTTCTTCCCGGGGGAGGTCCTAACAGGTCACTACACTGTCTTGTCAAACTGAACACAGGTAGCATTCTCAGGTCTTTGCTGTTTGTAGCCCGAACACAGCACATATGGTTGGCATCTCCCACTGGCAACCATGCAGGAGAAATTAGGATGTCAAAAGTAACCCTGCCAATTCGAATGCCCAGGCAGTCTAGGGCACATACATGCCTTACTGATATTTCTGGAGACAAGCAGATAGACCCCTTACGTGCTATTAAGGATGCATCAGCCATCCAGGGGCTTGGAGCATGATCTAGTATTGTGTTTACCTTCCCTAACCTTGGGAGCAAAGGTAATCTGACTGTTTCCCAGAGATGGGGTCCAGCATGACTCAGGGATGGGCAGCAGTGCAGGAACCAGGTCAGAGGAGATCAAATGCAATATGGCAGACAAGAGGAGGAAATGACACCCCCAATTAGACTCAAAGAAGGCCCAAGAGCTCCTACCAACCACAGGAATGAATTTGATGTCATCCTCCAGGCTGGCCAGCAAGGCAGCTACTCCATAGCATCTTGTAATATTAATGGCATTCAATGTGTCCCTGACAGGAAGGAGGGTGTCAAGGGTGCCAAGGGAAAGTGGAAGTCTGTCTCACCTACAGCTGCAGGACAAAACAAAGGAAAGAGGCAGAGAGTGGAAGAGTCTCACCTGCCCCGTTTAAGTAGTTCTCTGTAAGGGCCCTGACAATCCACAGCCTTACTGAGTGTCACCCCCAGAGAAACAGCACTTTTTATAGGAAGATACACTGTAGCTCAGAGGAAGCAGCATCTAGTCAGGTCCACACAGCTGCCAGAGTCAGAGACTTAGTCCACTATAGTTCTTACCAGGCCTGGGAACATGGCAGAGGTCTAATTAAAGTTTGTGGG